CAACACATAAAAATCCAGAAGTGTATGGAAGCCCCAAGGCAGCCAAGAGGACTGGAGACCCAAGACCCACACCCTAAGATTGATTTCATCACTCCAGGTCTGGACAGCTTCCCCCTTCACCTCCAGGCACCAAGAAAGGGCCCCCTCCCAGCCCTTGCTGGTTCAATGAGGCACCAAATGCCTTCACCCAGGACTCTGGTGGGGGCTGAGAGTAAAGAAGATAACAGCTGCCCACAGCCAATTTTTTCCTCTAAGGACCCATCAAGGCTTCAGGGGCCCATACCCCAACCCAGAGGACCCAGGGCAGATGGCTCCTTCAGCTGGGGAGGAGGCTGGGACATGAGGAATGTTCCCCTCCTCTTTGGGGGCAGGGGAGCAAGCCCCGGGCCCTGCAGCTTCCCCTCCCTGCAGCACTCTCTGACCATAACCCTGTCACCACCCCCAGCGTGTTCCCACCCCAGCACAGCCCCCTCCTACTGATTTCCCAGTCTCCCTCTCTCATCACCTCCAACCTTCCCCCGCAAGCTTCTGCTCCTCTCCCTCGGGCCCCCCCATCTTTCCCGGCTCTCCACCAACACATGCCCATCTCTGCCTCTAGCACCTGGGCGCCTTCCCCTCTGCTCCCTCCCCATAACCTCCTCTCCCCTTGGCTCCCATCCCCCAGTAAAGCCTGGTCCTCCGCGGTGCCCCCCAGTATGGAGCCCTTGGCCTGGCCCTGCTCCCTGCCTTTCCACTTCTCTCCTTTCCCCTCTCCAGCCCCCTCTGCTTTTCCTAGGAAGGCCAGTTCCTCGCTGGTTTCTCCCCTGCAGACCCTTCAGGGCACAACGGGCTCCTCATACCCTCTGGACGGGCACTGCTTCCAGCCCTTGGGGCTAGCATAGGCTGGGGACCCCCCTTCAGAGCCTCCCTCACAAGCCTTCCGGATGCCCCTCCTTCTCGCCCCATTCCTTCCCCTCAACGACCAGCCCTCCCACTCCTCTCCATTCACCCCAGCTCAGGGCCAGTGCCCCTTCCACAGGGAGCCTCCGACCCCCAACCCCCCAAGCCGTTTAGCCGCCTCGCTGTCACCCAGCCAGCCCTCTCAGCGCGGCAGCGCCCCCGCCCCCCAATCCGCCCTTCTTGCCTCCCCTGCCCCTCCAATCGTTGCCCTCCCCCAATCGGCTCTCGCCCCCCCCCCGTCCGTCTCCGCCGCAGCACCCCCCCGTACCTGGTTCTGGGGGCGCCAGGAGCAGGAGGGTGGGGATCAGAACCCCAGGGCCGCCCCGTCTCCGGCGGGTGGCAGAACCAGGGCCAGTGGTGTCTGCCGCCTCGCGCCTCTCTCGCTCCCCGCCGCGTCCCCGCCCGCCTGCCGGTCCGCCCGCCCCGCCGCGGTGCCGCTCGGAGAAGGATGCTCCGCGCGTCAGGGCGGCTGCTCCCGCCGCCGCATCCCTGCAACACCGACTGACGGCAGCATCAGCACCAGTTTCCGCCCCCCGGACGCGAGCATTGGATCACGCTGCGCTAACGGACGAGCTGCGCAGCCAATGCGAAGGCGCAGAAGCCGCCAGTCCCGCTGCTCCACAGGCCCACGCCCCGCGAGGGACCCAGGCGTCCCAGCCTCCCGGCCTCCGAGTTCTTCCCCGCTTCTCGAGGTCCTTAACCCTGGCGCCTGGGCCCCCAACCAGGCAGACCCCCCAACCCAACCCCAGTGACTTTTCCGGAAACCCAGGCGCCCTAGCTCCTCGCCCTGGGATCCCGCATCCCCCGGCCCGCGGGCCCAGGTGGCAGCGCCCAGGGCTGGGGCGAGCCGAAGGGGAGGCTGTGGGCCCAGACTTGGGGGCCCGAAGGAGCAGGTCCTGTGCGGGGGCCCGGGCCGCAGCGCCCTCTGCTGGCAACGCCTTGGAGCGGGCCCGGGCTGCCCGGAGCTTAGGGACGCGGGCTGCTGGGGGCCCTTTCCAGCCCTTGCCTGGCTTCCACCTCCCACTGCCCAAAGGCCCCCTGACCTCCCCTAGAACTGAGGAGGGCTCTTTCCTGGGAAAAGGACAGAGGCGCGGTGGGGGAGGGAAAGGCAGAGATGGGGGCGGGGTAGACCTAGGGGCTTGGGGTTTCCCAACCCTGCCTCATAGGAATCCCAGAGTTTGAAGCCTGATTTCCAGTCCTGCCTGGAACTCTGGACTGGGATAGGAGTAGGTTGAGGGGTAGGGGCGTGGATGCACACTGCCCGGACCACAGAAGGGAAGCTGGCAGCAGCTCACTTCAACCAGAATTTTCAGAGTGAATGTGGTGCTGGGGTGAAGGTCTTCCCTGTGAGGGCGTCTGCATCACTATGCATGGGTATGAGTTTGGAAAGAAGGGGACCCCCTTCACTCACTCATCCAACCCAAGGTGGACCTGGCACCTAGCGTGTGTATCACAAAGTTGGACACTGGGCTTCTGAATGAGGGAGGCAGTGTGTGTGTGTGTGTGTGTGTGTGAAAGACCGTTCTGCCAGCTCACTCCAGGACCCTGATTTCTGTTGCAGGGTCCGTGATCTGCACAGCCAGTGGTAGTTGGCGCTTCCTTAGCCAGAGGCAACATGCAAGAACACTCTCATTCGACCACAAAGGCACTCGGAGGCGTACTCACAGCCATGCACACCTATCCATGTGCACATAGGCGTTCCCAAGGGGACACACAGGGATACGTGCAGAAATGCCCCCACACCCACAAGAAGCATATACTTGCTCAAGAACATACACAAACTTATGCACACAGGTGCCTGAGGCAGATGCATGCCTTGGGGGGGAACAGGTGTACACAGAGGACCTGCCCACGAGGTCATCCTGCCCCCCGAGGCACTTTGCACAGAGTGGTCAGTTACTGAGTAGATGTGTGGGGACACACCCCCCCACCAGAGAGCTCCCTCCCGGCCTGTAAGGGGATGAGAGGGGGACCCAGGCTGTAGGACCCTAGAGGTTGGGAAGAGAGATCCCTGAGCCAGGTTCTAGACTTGGGGGGCCTACTCTGACCTTGGAGAGACCCTCAGGATGGCCCCACCAAGGCCACTAGAGGAGCCAGAGAATGGGAACTGCTGAGTCAGGGCCTGTGAATGTGAAATTGCCTCTCTGACCCCAGAGCCCACTGCCCTGCCCATCCCCCACTGCTCCTCTCCCTGCAGGCTACACACACACGCACACACACACACACACACACACACACACACACAGAGACGTGTCCAGCCAGGCAACAGGGCATAGATGGGCACACAGACAGGCGCAGTGACTCACAGAGACTTTCTCTCAGACCCTTATAGATGGGTGTGGGAAGGGGTGGGGGGGAGGGCAGGGGCAGGGAGAGATGCAAGAGTGAGCACTTGTCTCTGGTCCCCACCCCCAGCTCCCTGGGCCACCTTTGCCCGTCAAGGGCAGGAAAGGTCACCTGGCAGCTGCTGCACCTCCCTGCCCCTCCCCCAGCTACAGTGATGTCTCCCCCCACCCAGGTCCAGGCTTCAGAGTACCGGATGTAGGTGGGACCCACCACTTCAAGACACCCCCCCAACAGGCACCCACCCAACGTGGCCCTTCTCCCATGCGCAGTCCAGTGAGGACACACGGTGGAGGAAAAATGCAGCGAATACAGTATGCATGCCTGTGCACACACATGCACACACGCACACAATGTGAAGCTCATCTGCCAAATTCACACAGGCAACCATGAAAAGGCAGTCACACGTCACAGTCCCAGGGGGAGCAGACCTGGGCACACATTTGCAAACACACACACTGGGAAGAGGCCAGGCTGGGGCTGGGGGGTGGCAGGGAGGGGAGCCAGCCGACCGGGCTGCAGGGATGGAGGCAGCACAGGGAGCGAGCTGCTCTTCACAGCACAATCGCCGTCTGTTGTTATAGCAACTCAGCCCCCAAATCGTGAAACGGATATTACAGCCTCCAGAGGAGGAAGGAAGGGAGGGGGCTGAAGATGGAAGGAGGGGCAGTGCGGGGGACCCAACGGGGGACAGGGCTGGGGGGCCCAACAGGTGGCAGAGCTGCAGCTGAGAAGTAACAGGGTGGGAGGAGGAGGTACCCCAGATGAGGAGTAGGCCAGGGGGAGTGGGGTCTCAAAGGGAAAGATGGGCATGGGGTCAAGGAAGTTTGAGGGAGGGGGCTGAGGCCATTGCCAGGTCCTCAGATATTGTGCTTTGCAGGTAGGAGTTGGGGTGCTCAGGCCTCCACTCCCAGGACAACCTGCAGTTGCTGTAGGACATGCCTCAGCTTGGGGGAGGGGAGCTGGGGAGGTAGCTCCCATTCTCAGACTGCTGTCTAGAGCCTCCTCACCCCAGGGGCAGCCTGGCTCAGCTTCAGAACCTTTCGAAGACCCCCAGTCCACCCTCCTCACCAAGACCAGCCTCTGAAGTGGCCTTAGCCTTCCTCAGGTAGTGGTGACCCCCAAAACCTCCATGCTGCAAACTCGGGAGGGAAGAGCTGGGTTGGGAGAGGCTGCCAGAGGCTGACAGCAGGATCAATATGCATTTCCTCTGGAAGTCCCTGTCCTTCCGGCTGGCAGCAGCGCCAGGCCAGGAGGCTGCAAGCCCAAGGAGTGTGCCCCCCCTCGCTCCTTCCCCCACACCCAGCACTCAGGGCTGCCCCCTCCCTCCCATGATTCTCTGTAGTGAGCTCCCCGTTGCTGGAAGTATACAAGCAGAGGCTGAAAGACCACCTGTCAAGCAAGGGAAATTCAGCTGCGGGCTGAAGGCTATGGCTATACATGACCACCAGGCTCAGCAATTCTACTTTCAAGTTTTAGGCCCCCAAGATTCTGGACTCCTAGAGATTCTAGACCTCCCCCCAAAACACTCTGTTCCACGGTTTCCTGGTTCTAAGGCTCTATCCCCCACAATCCTACCTCCCCCCAAGATTCCAGACACATGAGATTCCAGATCTCCCAAGATTCTCTGACTACAGAGTTTTCTGCGCCACAGTTCTAGTCCCTGTGCCTACGGACCCCTGCCCTCTGCCCCCCGCGAGGATTCTAGGCACTGATAGTCCAGGTTAATTACTTGGGCCTTTATTCCATGTGGAAAACACAAATATTCACAAGAATCTGTACAACCTTAGGGACACCAGCCCTGGCCCTGCCCTCAGCTGCATGCCACCCTCACACCCCGCCCCCCAGCCCCGGCCTGCTGCCGCAGCACCCCAGGCTCCCTGCTCTGGTCCAAGTCTTTTCTCCAAAGCAGGCATGAGTGCTTGATCCAGTCACAGCTGGGAAGAAAAAAACAGAGGTTGTGAGGAAGACCCTCCCCACTCCCCAAAAAGCAGGATTCCACCAGGCCTGGGCCATTTGGACAGAGCACCCGTCCCACCCATCCCCCCATTGCCCCAGCCCTGAGTGGGGAGGCTCTGCCCAGGCTGCAGGGGGGCTCACCATCAATTACAAGTGGATGTCAAACACGCCATCCTCCACCGTCTGAACCTCCTCCTCTCGGATCTCTGCAGGGAGGGGGGTGCCACAGGACCAATTCCTGGGTCCCTGTGCCCTCAGCAGCCCTTCTCCCCATCACTGGAGGCACCCGGCCCCATCCCAGAAGCAGAACCATCCACCAAAAATCAATTCACTGAATGACCAAAAGGCCCAATTTTTGAGGCTCTTTTTCTAAGTTTTCATTTTGCCACAGCTTTTTTGCAGCCACAGATTTATCGGTGCGGTTTGCTTAAATGTCAGTTTTGTGTGTGTTTTACATTTTAGACCCCAGCACTTCTGGAAGGCTCAATGCGAATGGTTTCATCTTTTCTGTATTTGAGAACTTATGCCCTGTGCCTGCCTCTATTTTTGAGGACTTATGCCAGTCTGAACAGTTGTGGTCAACTGCCTTAGACCCCAGTGGAACATGGTTGTTCAGAGTGTTCTCAGCAAAATAATCATTTGAGGAATTGTCATGCAGAAAACTGACCTAGAACCACCAATGGCCCCAAGAGAGCTGCTGGGAGCTTTGGGGGGCAAGGGACTCTTCTCAGAATAGCCTCCAAAGCAGCCAAAAAGGCAAACACAGGAAAATGGCTCACAAAACTCCCTCTCCAACCCATTGTCAATCCCCCTAACAAAATAAGAGTGCAAATTGAATCTTGAAGTCTCTTTCACGTTTACTCTTTTTTATTTATTAGTCTCTCTCCTCCTCAGCCTCAGAGGGTTGAGGGCTCCCTGGTCACCTTCTGACACCCTTACCTGTCCAGCCCTTCTCCATCACCCTACCAAAATAAGACAATTACAAACTCTGCAATAATTTCCATCCTGGAGAAGGTAATACTATGCCACCATGGCCTTGCCTCCCTCCCTCCACAGGCCAGTACAAAAAGAGACCCCTTCTTACCTGGAGGCCGGGAGCCTCGCCTGCCAGGGCGGGGCAGGGAGAAGCTGAAGGCGCGATGGTGGGTATGTGTGGGTGAGGGTGAGGGTGCAGACCCCTCCAGACTCACACTCTGGGCCCGGCGCCGGCACTCAACTGACAGACGATCCTTGCACTGCTTGTGGCAGTTAACACCACAGGCTGGGGAGGCAGATGGGGAGCCCAGCCAGATCAACTGATCAGAATACCCTTCACCCCATTCCACAGGCCTGCACCTCTCCCCAGGTCCCTTTGCTCCTGAGCAGCTGCCCCACCAAAACAAGAGCCTCCTTTCCAAGTGCTCTCTCCATCCTACTCGGCAGTCTGTGCCCTCTCCAAAGCTCCCTGTTCCTGGGCAGCTGCCTCACCAAAATAAAGGCCCTGGTTTTTGTTTGTTTGTTTGTTGTTGGTTGTTTTTTGGGTTTTTGGTTTGCTTGTTTTGGTTTTTGGTTTCTGGGGGTTTTTTTTGGCAAAACTGCGAGGCAGGTGGGATCTTACTTCCCAGAGCAGGGGTCGAACCCACACCCCCTGCAGTGGAAGCACGGAGTCTTAACCACTGGATGGCCAGGGAAGTCCCAACAAAAGCCCTGTTAAAGGCTACCCCCTTCACGTCAATCAGCATGCCTCTCTGGCTCTAAGATACTTCACTCCTTGGCAATTACCCCACCAAAATGAGAATATTCACCCAGATAGTAACTCTTCCCAAAAAACTCAGCCCAGCAGCCTTGCAACTCCATCTCACCTCGGCATTTGAGGCCCTGCTTGTAGATGCCCAGGATCTGAAATAGAGGAGGGGGCCGTAGTAGGGGGGAGGGGTTTAGAGGGGATGACTCTACTTCTTCCTTTCCATGGGCAGGGAGTGGGAGTGACCCTTTCTGGAGCCTTAGGGCCCCCCTCAGGGTTTTGTTCAGAACAGGAAGAGGGGAGGCAGGTGGAATTAAGGTTTGCCTAGGCTGAGAAGGCTCTGGCAGGGGCGGGGCCAGAAGGGAGGGCGGGCGTGGATGGGGCGGGGCCGGTGCTGGAGGGGCGTGGCTTGGGCGGGGGCTCACCAGGGCCTTGCAGTGGCGGCAGGCGACCGGGCGCAAGGAGTTGCTCTCGTGGAAGTTGTGTACGAAGCCCATGCGGCCACCCAGCACAGAGCTGGAGCGCAGAAAGTAGGAGACCATCTCCTCCTTGCTGATGCAGCCGTCCCTGTCCGGGAAGGGGGAGGGCCTCAGCTCTGGGGGCCTCCCTGGGACCACCCACCACCAGCTTAACCCATCCCACTGGGAAAAACCCCTACCAAGTTAAAGGTCCTCACCGACTCCTGATTTTGGACCCCTGGTGCAGGAAAGAGAAAGAACACTAGACTTGGAGTCAGGCAGATGTAGTAGCTGCTACTAACTAGTTGTGTGATCTTGGGCAAGTCAATTGCCCTGGGTTTCCTCCCTGGAAAAATGGGGATCATAATTCCTGCCCTGCTCACTTCACAGAGTTGGTGTGTAAACTAAAATTGCTCTGCACTTTCCCATGGGATTATCAGCTTCTGTTTCCCAAAGTGAGCTCTGTGGAACACCAGTCCGGAGCCCTGAGAATTAAGAGATCTCTGATGAGTTTGGGGACCAGGTAAGATTGGAAAAAGCTGCACCTGTCTCACTCTTGCATAATCCTGCCAGAAAGGTAATCCAGGGATTCCCCACGGAGCCCTTTTTTTCATCCATTCACATATTTTAGGGAAAGAGTGAGCACGTGCTCTGGAGATGGACAGAACTCAGTTCAAATCTGGGCTCTACTTCTTCTCTGTGTGACTTCAAGCCCCATCCCTCGGCTTCCTCTTCTATAAATGGGGACGATGATAGTTCCTACACCTCAGAGGCCTTTGGGTAAGGCTTAAATGAGATAGTGCACATGGAACATTGACAACAGCGTCTGTAATGGTTAATAGATGCTGGGCCACTGGGAGCTATTTCCACCAGGGGTGGCCCTTGTTGGAAACGCCTGCCCATTGTATTTACGTGATCCAGGTTGTCCTTCAAATCAGTGGTACGTTGGGACGACTGATGGTTTATGAAAATATGTAAACCTAGGCTCCTATCTCACACTGTTCATGAAAACTTAATTCCCACTAAATTCAGAACACTAATGTAAAAAATAAGAATTTCAAAGTATCTGAAAAGGTATAAGGGAAGAATTTTGTAATCTTGAGGGGATGAAGGCCTTTCTACGCATAACACAAATCCGAGAAGCCAAAAAGGAAAAGACTGACATATTGAGCACACATTTTTAAAAAATTTTATATGGAAAAGGACAACATAAATGACAGACTGGGAGAAAATATTTGCAAACATATTCAACACCAAGGGTTAATATCCATTAACAGAGATTCTAGAAATCAATGAGAAAAAGACTCACAAACCCAGTGGAATAATGGACAAAGGACATGAACAGGCAATTTACAGAAGAAATAGAAGTGGCCAGTAAACATATGAAGATCTCCTACCCCCACTAGTATTAAAGAAATGCAAATTTAACCAAGACGCCATTTGCCAATTAGACTGGCAAAATTGTAAAGCTTATTATAGCATCCACTGTTGGCAAGGAAGTTGGGAAATGGGCACTCGTTCACTGTTGATGGGAGTGCAAGCTGGCACAACCTTGCCTGAGGTCACCTTGGCAGTCTCTCTTCTAATTTAGAATGTGCATATCTTTTGATCCAATTATCCCACTTCTAGGAATTTCTCCTACAAAAATAGTGGCCTGAGTGCATGGGTACAAAGATGTTCACAGTAGCATGGTGGATGTTAATAGCGAAAAACTGGGAACAGCCTACATGTCCACCAGCAGGAGAATGGTGAGGCAAATGAGGGCCCAGCCACACAGTGTGACACGCTGCAGCTGTCCTACAGAACGAGGTAGTTCTGCACGCATCGGCCTGGAAAGATGTCCATGATGAGGGTTTAAGTGGAAAACAAAAGTAAAAAAACACAAAGCATGCAGCTCTGTCAAGACAGTGATTTAAAAACAAAAACAAAAAACCCTGAAAACCCTACTGCCACAAATACCCAGATGCTGGTTAAAATATATCAAAAATTGCTTTAAATGCATAGGTGAGTTTGTAAGAAATGGAAACCCCCAAGTTTCAGAAACAAAGAGAGATCTTCGGATTGATTCAGTGAGCTGTGGCTGCCCCAGGAGCCGGGTGCTGGATTTTGATACCTGCCTGGGGCCTGCAGGAGGTGGGGAGTTAAGGCTGAGACGCCTGCATGAAGCTGACGCCTTGAAGGTCTCCAAGGGCTGCACCCTCCCTAAAAGTGTGGCCTGGAAAAACTCCACCCTAACGCAGGGAGGTGACAGGGAACTGTTTTCAACTCAGAGAAAACTCTGTTTTCAACTATTTGTTCCCAACGCTGGGAGGAGAAACAAAGCAACTACAATGAACGCCACTGGCGGAACCAGATTTATACCATCATCCTGTTTGTCTATGAAACAGACACAGACAAATTCTCTAACAATTTGCAACACGCATGAAAAAAAGACTGGAAAGATACAGGCATTGCCACACCAGTAATGTTACTAACATAGTTACTAATGACAACCTCTGAGTGGGAAAGGAGGGAGGGAATTTTCACTTCTTACCTTATACACTTTGCTCACTATAAATCTATTTTACTACCTGGATTTTTTTTTAACCATGCATTTTTATAATATGGGAAAAAACCCAGCTTTTTGAAATATGGATAACACTGAAAAGTAAATCGACCTGGGATGGACTATAAATTTTGATTGGAATTTTGTCCGCTCAGCAAAACCAGGGTGTGAACATGGTTGCATGTTTAACCTACTCCAGAGAACCAGCTGTTTGTCCAAATTGTCAGCATGTGAATTGTGAATTGTTGATAAGCAAGTGGGTGCTGCTAATTGCAGGCCTTTCTTATCTATTCATTAAGACAGGCTACCCAGGAGTTCAACGTGCCCACACTTTTTGCCAGCTGTGAGCTCCACAAATAAAATGGCATTTATGTAGCAACAGTCCCCAGGCCACCGTCTTTGCAAGATTCAGGTGGAGTCCCCCCACCCCCTCTTCGGTCTGAATAAGTGAGGTAACCCTGTGCCTCTGCAGCTGGAAGCCTCCCCGAAAATAAGAGCCCCTCCCCACATGGGTGGCTTCCTCCCTCAAGATCATCTGGTTCAATGTCCTCATCTTGCACGGGAGGAAACTAAAACCCAAGGGGAAGTGAGCCTGCTTTCCCTCTCCCCCTGCCCCCAGGCCTCCTCACTGGTTCTGGTCGAAGTCCCCAAAGGCGCTGAGGTAAGGAAAGTTCCCACGGATGATCTGGAACTCCTCCTGTGAGATGTGGCCGTCCCCATCGACATCGAAGTTCCGGAACACAGACTGGAGTACATAGAGGGACACATAGGGGAGGGGAGGATAAAAGGAGCATTGGCCCCACCCTGCCCACATGCCCAGTCCAAGTGATGAAGGGCGGGCGTCTCAGCCGTGGGCAGCTGTCTGGCTCCCCCACCACCTCCCTTCTCCGTACCCCCATCCCAACCCCACCCATCAGCTGTGCCCCGTGCCTTCTGGAGACTGAGTGTTGGCCCTTGAACCTGGCACTGGTGGTGGCTCCCAGGGCAGTGCCATGGCAAAACTAGCCTTGATTGACCACTACGGACCTGTCCCCCCACCCCGCAGACTCCAGAGCTGGCTGCCACAGAGTCTCACCTCCACCATCTTCTCAATGTGCTCCACCATGAGTCCATGATCCAGCTTGGGTTTGGCCGCTGAGGTCCACTCCTCCAGCACCGGGGGCCGGGGAGGCGGCGTGCAGCTGGTGGGGCTGGTTGGCTGTGGGAATGGTCGAGGCTGAGAGAGGGCCAGAGGTGAGGAAGCCCAGGGCCCAGTGGAGGAGAGAGGGCAAGCCCTGGGGACAAGGAAGCCTGCCCAACGAGCAGGATAGGTGAGGTAGCCTCTAATCTTGGAACTCCCGGGAGGGCAGAGGTGGGGGAGGAAGAGGATGGGCCGAGTGGGTAAGCAGCGATTCCGTCCCTCACCGAGGACTTGGAGCGCGGTTCCCGCTGCAGGGACAGCTGGTAGAGCTCATCCTCTGTCTGATACTGATCCAGAGACACCTGGGACACACAGGTCTGATCACGCCCACTGGCCTCCGCTGCCCTCAAGAGCCCACTGCCCAGAACTCAGACCCACAGGTCTACCTAGAGGTCGCAGCCCAGCCCCGAGCCTGGCCCAGAAGCTAGACTCAGGACAAAGGCCAGCTTAGAACACATCCCAGCAACCACACGCCAGCCTACCACACAGACCAGAACCTGTATCTCGGCCCCAAACCTTGAACACAATGCACTGTCAAGATCTCAGCCAAGAATCCAGGTCGCAACCCAGCTGAGAGCTCTGAAATTCCCCCCCAACACAGAATCCCACCCAGCAACCAGACTCCAGCTCAGATTTCAATCCCCATCTCAGTCCAGAACCCAGAAACAGGTAAGACTTCACACCAAACCTTAAAACCTAAGCCCCAGCCCAACGATTAGAACCTAGTCCAGATCTGGACTAGAACCCAACTCCTACGCTAGGGCTCAAAACCAAGTCCAAGACCAAGCCCAGAAGCTCAGAGCTCTGGGCCATGTTTAAAAGCCGCCCCTGGGGAACTCCCTGGCAGTCCAGGGGTTAGGACTCGGCCCTTTCACTGCCGAGGGTGCGGGTTCCATCCCTGGTCAGGGAACTAAGATCCCACAAGCCATGAAGCACAGCCAAAAGCTAAAAATTAAAAAAAAAAATAAAAGCCACCCCTATACCCAGAATCCAGAGTTTGACCCCAAACCTTGAACACAGCCCACTGCTAGGAACTCAACCCAGGGCCCAGGCCCAGCCTCAAGTCCACATGCCAGCCTCAGGGGCCCACAGCCCCATCTGGAGCCTAGAACCCTTCTCCAAGTTCATCCCAGCCTTGGGGCCCAGGCTGGGTGTCAGTTCTTCGATCATAACTGAGAACCCAAGGCCAAGCCTGCAGGACCAGGTGCAGCTGTCGACCCTGCTGCCTGGCCCCTCACCGTCAGCAGGCTCAGCAGGTCGGGGTTGGCTTGCACTGGGGGCTGAAGGCTGGTCACCATGGCCAGCTCCTCCAGGATGCTGAAGAGCTGCTTCATCTTGGCCCCATTAAGTCGGGTCCGGGTGGGGTCCAGCCAGTCAGGCAGTGCCAGCTGCAGGGCCACCAGGTCCTTGAGGTGCACACCCAAGATGGGGAAGCGGAAACCCACGCAGGCTGCCAGCCGGCGCCGGTAGTTGCCATAGTTACCAGTGGCCGTCACTAGTTCTGTCAGACCTTCCCAGAGCTGGGGGACAAAGGGCAGAGGGTCACACACACACACAAACACACACACACACACACACACACACACACACACACACACACATCACATATCTCAAGCTCAGCTCTCCTTCCCCTGCCCAGCCCTGGAAATGTGGGAGAGGATGTGGAGTCAGGGTTAGGGATGGGTGAAAGGTCAAAAGCCTCCCTCACTATCCCCCAACACTGGCTCCCTTAGCCCCTGGGAATCAGAAGTCATAGGTCACGAGTTCAAAGGGACACCCACTACCAAATACCACACCTCTACACCAGGCCTGGGCACAGATTATCATCAACATTTAACAGAAGAGGGGACTTCCCTGGTGGTCCAGTGGTAAAGAACCCGCCTTCCAATGCAGGGGACACGGGTTTGATCCTTGGTCAGGGAGCTAAGATCCCACATGCCGCGAGGCATCTAGGCCCCCGTGCCGCAACTACTGAGCTCGCGTGCCTCAACAAGAGAGCCTGTGGGCCGCAAACTACAGAGCCCAGCACTCTGGAACCTGTGCGCCACAACTAGAGAGAAGCCCGCACGCCACAATGAAGAGCCCGCGCCGCAACAAAAGATCCCGCAAGCTTCAATGAAGACCCCACGTGCCGCAGCTAAGACCCGACACAGCCAAAAACATAAAGAAAATAAATAAATAAATATTTTTTTAAAAAACCATTTCACAGGAGAGGAAACTGAGGATCAGGGAGGCAGAGCAGCACAGGACGACGATTTCGAAGAATATTCTTAGTGGTATCATTCGTAACAGCCCAAACTGGAAAAACCCCCAATGTTCAGTAGTAGAGGAGATACACAAATCGGGGTGGACTAAAACATTATACGGCAACGGAAGTGAATGAGCAATTGCTCCACATAACGGAATGTAAGAATGAAAGAAGCAAGAAGTAAAATCACGTATACAACACAATTCCATTCATAGGAGGTTCAAAAACAGGCAACAAGAAACACACATGCTTTTGGGATGCATGCACAGGTGGTAAAGCTATCAAGAAAAACAAGGTCAGGAATTCCCTGGTGGTCCAGTGGTTAGGATTCTGAGCTTTCACTGCAGGGAGCACGGGTGTGGGGACTAAGATCCCACATGCCGCGCAGTATGGCCAAAATAAATGAATAAATAAATAAAAATTTTTAAAAAGAAAGAAAAGCAAGGTCATCATCCTTAGGAATGTTATGACATTGTTTGCCTCTGATGAGGACGGAGTTGTGCGCTAAGGTGCTGGGAGCTTCGGGGGCTGGCAGTGTTCTACTTCTTGACCTGAGTGGTACTTACACAGGCGTTTTCTAATTTTTTTTAACTGTACATATGTTTTATAGACTTTTCTATATGTATGTCACCAGTTATGTTTTTTAAAAAAAAATAGGGACTTCCCTGGTGGTCCCGTGGTTAAAACTCGGTGCTTCCACTGCAGGGGGCACAGGTTTGATCCCTGGTCAGGGAACTAAGATCCCACATGTGTGCGGCACGACCAAAATAAAATAAAATAAAATAAGCAGGGGAGGAGTAAAGCACGAGCTTTGAAGTTCGGCAGACCTGTGAGACTCCACTCTGCTGCTTTCACTGTGCAACTGGAAAAGGATTTAACCCCCAGACTCAGTTTCCTCATTTATCAAATGAAGAGGGAGTGCCCAGCCCCCAGCACTGCTGGGAGTTCTCAGCGAGGCCAGCCCTGGGAAGGCTGACCAGGCCATTCCCCTGACCCCCCGAGTCTCAAGCACCTTGATGGTCTCTGGGCTCACGTGGCTGTGGGTCTCCTTGAGGCGGGAAATGGAGCTGTGGCTCAGGCCCCCGACCACCGCCATCAGCGTGTTGAAATTCTGCAGCTCCAGGAGTTTCTGGGGAATAAATGGAGAGAGATGAGGCAGTGAGTCACTGAGTGGGCCCAGAATTTGGCCCAGCTTTTCTGGAGAAGACCTAGCAGTGGGTTAGGGGAAAGGAGGGACTCAGCCCTACTGGCAATTTGGGAGGTTGGGGGGAAGGGGAGGGGCAGGCACCTCTGCAACGTGGACGAAGTGTGTGATGACCAGGGCCCGCTGCGGGGCTGTGGGCTTGCTGAGAATCATGAGTTGCACCCACTGCGAGACACTGTTGAAGAGGGAGATGAATCGCTCCAGGACAGGGTTGTCCACGGTGCAGCCGTGAGTCACAAAACTGTGATAGTCCTGGAACTGCAGGCACAGTGGCCTCAGCACCCTGTGGCCCCTCCCCTCACCAATGGCCGCTCCTCACCCTCCAGCGGCCCTTTGGTGGTTACATTGAAACCCCAGACCCACCCTGTGACCCCACATACCCCAGAGACCCTGCCCCTCCTGGCACCCCCTCCCCAGCCCACACCCGCTCCCTGACTGAAGGCCACTGGGCCGCACCAGGATCTTGCAAAAGGAGCAATATTCCAAGTAGGTGAGATGTGCTGCCAGCTCCATGGGGTCCAGGTGGTCAAACAACAGGGACATCTTGCGCTTTTTCTGTTCCACAGGGTTCCTCTGGGTCACCTGCCGATTCCACTTGTAGGTGGGGCTGGGGGAGTGGGGCGGGGCAGTGAGTCCTTTGCTGAAGATGCCCCACCCCTCATGGCCCTACACTCATGCCACTCACGCTGACCGCGAGACACTGTGCAGGGCACGAATGTCCCCAGTCCCAGCACCTCCTGCAATCTCCCCCTCATCACACACTCAACACAGATTTATGGAAGACCTACTCTGTGACAGGCACTGTGCTAGGCGCTGGGGGTACAGAGATGAGCAAGACACGGTTCCTGCCCCCGAGGAGCTCACAGTCTACTGAGGGAGACAGACACAAACAAACAATCACGAAACAGCGTGACACAAGTGTGGAGGTCTTTGGGCAGAGGTCTGCACAAAGTGTCATGGAGGAACAGAGGCAGGAACGACAAATTCTGCCCTGAAAGAGCCCACAGACACTCCACACTTGTGCTAAGTTTTGATAACACGGAGGAGGAGGCAAGGGGACATGAGCAAAGCGCCATGGTGGGAAAGGATGCAGGAGCTGCAGAATGGTGAGTGGACCCGTGCAGCTGCAGTATGAGGTGCCTGGTATGGGGTGGTGGGCTGTGGAAGATGAGGCAGGAATGCCAAGCTGGCCTGAGACTATGAAAGGCCTTAATCCCCAGCTGAGGCATTTTGAAGACGATAGGAAGCCATAGAAGGTTTTTAAGCAAGAGTGACATGACCCTCACCCATTCAATTCGACAAACATTTATTAAGTGCAGATGGTGTAGGATGCTGAGTGCCCTGCCCAGCCCTCCGAGCTCCCCCCACGCACACGCTCTCGATGTCGATGAGGCTGCTGTGCCGGCGGTTCCCTTCTTGGTCTAGCAGAGCCTTCAGCTCCTTGATCTGCTCAGCGAGCTCAGGATTCAAGTCAAACTCTGCTGGGAATGCTGAGATCCAGTACCTGGTGGAGGTTCAGAGTCACCCAAGGCAGCCCTTCCCTCACCATCCCCTAGGACTGTAGTTCCCCAGAGAGGGGGAAAGAGCCTTGAACTGTGGTTCCCCTTGCCCAGCTCTTTCCTTCCCTACCCGCACTGGGCAGATCAGAAAACAGGGACCGGGCCAGGACCAGGAAGGGGCAAGCCTGCGGCAGCACAACCACCATGGACAGAGCTGGGTTCAAACCCACATGACCAGCTTCCAGAACGAGCTATTTCCACTCCTTCAGGCCAGTCTGAAGCCTGAGATAAGGGAGCAGAGGAGGGGACAGAGCCCCAAGAGGAAGACTCACCTGACCAGATGGCATGTTTTCACCTGAAGCGAACTGGAGTTGTCCTTCCGGGATTGTTGGTAGGTGAAGCAGAGTTAAGGAAAACAAGCATGGAGACTTACTCTAGAAAAGGAGGCAGGGGATGGAACCCGAGTTCTTGGGGGAGGCTGAGGGCAGGGCCCGGTTCTAGGAGAAATTCTAGGGGTGGGGTCTGGGGCGGGCAGGGCCCAAGCTCTGGAAAGGGGCTGAAAACAGAGGTGAGGTGTGAGCTTTGGGAGGGTGCCTGGATGGAATGGGGGCCAGATTCTGGGAGAGGCTGAGAGCAGGACCTGGGTTCTGGGAGAGAAGCAAGAGGCAGAACCTGCGCTGGGAGTAGGAACAGGTCCTAGGCTGTGGGGAGGAAAGAGCAAGGCCTAGCCTGGGGAGAGACCCGGGGACGGGGCCTTAGCTCTAAGGGGAGGAAAGGGGTGGAGCTTAGGCCCTAGCTGCAGCCTGGGCCAATCCTGAATTCTGTGGTGTGGGAGTGGCCCACGCTCTAGGAGCGAAGCCCATCCTCTGCCCCCGCTGGGCAGCGGGGCTCCCTTATGGATGCGGACTGCAGGGCCCTTGGCGAGGCCGGCGAAGGATATACGTACAGCAGTTTTGCCGCCAGCTGAGAGGAAGGGATGTACCAGGGGTGCATCATGAGGAACATGCGCACCAGCTGCGGGTCCCGCACCTTCCCGGAGTCATCTAACTCCGAGGGGTCAAGGAGAAGCGGGTTGACCCTACGTCCCGCAGCTTCGGTCCCTAAACCCTACCCCGCAGCCTGCCGGGTTTCTGGCTCCCGGCCGCCTCCGGCTTTCCGAGGGCTCCGAAACCAGGAGGCAGATTATAAAGTAAAGGTAGGGTGGAAGAGGGATAAGGCAGGATCCGAGGAACTAGAGGAGAGGAGCGTCTGAGTCGGGCCTGTAGTCTGGAGGGGAACCAGCTGGGGCGGAAGGAGACGGGTTCCACGGGGTCAAGAATCCAGAGGTCATTTCCTGAGTGCCTGGGGAAGGGGCACCCCTTCACCAGATAAGCCACCCCCCATCAGCCGGAAACAGCTTCCAGGCCGCAATAGCGAGTTCCTCCGGATCCCCCGGGGAGACAGATAACGGTCCTCGTGGGTCAGAGTCTGGGGACCCCGTCGCTCCTCCCTTCAACGCTGGTATACTAGGGAAGGGAAACCTTTTCTCTTTCTGCACCGTGTGGATCTCTCTACCCCGGGATGAAGGAGGAGACTTTCGCCAAAGAGGCTGCAGGATGCGAGTTGGGCAGAGGTCTGCCCTGAGAGGCAGGGGTCAGGGTTCAGGCTCCCGGCTGGTCTCAGGCTGGGCGTGTCCTCCCGTGCCACTCACCGAAGGCTTCAATGCAACCACGGAGCAGCTCCTCCACCGTGCAGCCCTTGTCCAGGTCCAGGGTGCCCGCCATGGCCTCCGGCGCGGGTAGGCTGGGCCAAGCTGCGCTCCGAGAGCCTCCACGGGGCTCGGACCTGACCCCTGTCCCGGGAGAGACAGAGCCGGAGTCTGCGGAGGCGCGGGCCAGGGGAGCGGCCCCGCGGACAGAAATGGGGCGGGGCAGGCACGCCCCCTGCTGGGCAGGGGCGGAGTCGTCCGCCGCGGCCACTCCTGGGGTTAACTGGCCCGGGATGTTGCAACCCACCAGTTGGGAAACGAACTGACCAAGAAGCTTCCGGCCCACCCTTGGAGTCGTGGGAGGGCTGAGGGACTCCCCGGGGATAGGGACGAGCCAGAACTCGGGGGGCTGGTTAGTGTCCCAGCCCCCCCTCCCCGCAGGCCCTCTTCTCACGTCCTCTCCCCAGAGGCACCTGCAGCACCCCGCAGCTCAGTTCTGCGCCCCTCCCGCTTCCCTCCCTTCACAGCCTCCCTTCCCCCGCAGGGTTATTTTGGGAACCCAGAGCCTGAGGGGACCTCGGAGGAATTTCTCCCTGGGATGAGAGGGGGGAGGAACCCAGGCGTCCTGCCCGCGTCGCCCCCTCCTGGGCTCCCCGGAAAGGAAGGCGTGGCTGTGGCAGCCCCCAGGGGCCTGCCATTGGGGAGGCGGGCTGAAGCGGAGAGGAACATTCCTGGGGCGGGGTGGGGGGCGGAGAGGGCGGAGCGGGGAGCCCACTGCGGCCCGGAGGCGTCAGCGGGAAGCCTGAGCCTGGGAACCGCGCGCTCCCAAGCCACCTCCTCCGTGAAGGCCCCAAGGGTCCCGGCTCAGACCTTCCGCAGGCTATCTTCATCCCCAGACCCTGACGCAGGTCCCCATACTGCACAGTCGAACTGAGCGCACACACAGGCCGTCCACACTCGAGCACAGAGTAGGGTGCCCAGAAGGGGGCGCTAGCACCGTGCGGGGTGGAGAGTGCCTGTACGACTCCACCAGCAGCTCCAGTCACTGGCGGGAATATACGCACCCATGCAGAGACACTCATTCCACACCCGAGGCCAGGGGCCCACATCGGGGTGCAAGAATGCCTGAGGCTCCCAAGAAGCCGAGCCTCAGGCAATTACCTCCCATACTCTCTCTCTCACACACAATGGCACCCACAGCCCTCGCACATCTGAACGAAGGAAACCTCGGACACACATACCCAGCTCTCTACCCCAGAATGCAAACCCGTTGGAGGGGGCCCTGCTGCTCACTAGAGCCAGGCCAGCCTGGAGTTCCGCGGCCACAGCAGCGCGACATCCGCACACGTGTGCACACACGCAAGGCAGTGCACCTACACGCATGTACACTCTCCCACACATGCACACACCCGGTGGGTATGCACACACGCCCATTCCGCCCCCGCCCCCTTCATCTGCGATCTAGGGCCAGCCCTGCGGCCCCAGCGACCTGACATCCCGTACCCACGGACGCTGGCAAAGCCTTGCCCCACAGAAGGTACCCCGCCCCTACACATACTCCCCCGGGCTGCGGGCGGGGGGGAGCGGGGCGCTCCTCTATGGAGTTCTCTGGTAGACTTTTCCTAGGAGCCACCCAGAGTCATCACCCCGCGGCTCTCCCGCTTCCTCGCTGTGTGACCTTGAGAGTCACTTGGCCTCTCGGAGCCTCAATTTTCTCATCTGTCAAATGGGGGCTTCGCCGGGGAAGGTCCCGCTGAGACGTGGCTAGGAAGAGCCGGGTGCGCCCCGTTTGCCGCCCCCTCCCGCGCTTGTCCAGGGAGCTTCGGGTCTCTCGGCAGGTTCCTCCTAAGCCCTGACCCGGGCCGCAGATTCCCCACCCACCAACCCACCCGCCGCCCCCAGCCCGTCTGCGCCGCCCTCAAGGGCCCCTAGGGGCCGGGCCTCCTCTGCCCTGAGCACCTCCCCGCCCCGCGCTCATTCACTCACACTTGGGACCCGCGGCAAGAAGCCCGCACCCGGCCCGACTGGCGCCACCTCCGTGCTCTCCCGCCCGCCGACCTCGCTGCGGCTGCGGCTCCCGCCCGCTCTCCGCGCCGCGGCCCCGCTCCCCGCCGCCCCGCCCCCGCGCCGCGGCCGCCCCCTCCTCTCCCCTCCCCTCCCCTCCCCTCCCGCCCCTACGCCGGGCTCCGCACCGGCGGCTGCGCCTCCCCCATCGGGGGCTCCCTCTCGCCCCGCACGCGGCGGTCCCTGCGGCAGCTTAACCCCTGCCCTGCCGCGCCGCCCGGGAGACGAGGGCCGCGGGCGGGGGGGCTGCGCCACGGGCCGCGCCGAGGGTGGGTGAGGGGAGGTCAGGCCGCTCGGGACATGGAAGGGGGGAACTAAACCACCGGTCCTCTCCCCCCATCACAGACACCCCCCTGCCCCCCGCCCTGTCTGGTGTGGGGCAGAGGAAGCCGGGAGGGGCAGGAAGTAGACTGCGGTGGGGAAGGGGCGCCCCGCCCAGCCCCCGGCCCGGGTTCCTGTTTTCGAGACAAACCGTTCCCACGGGGCTAACCCGGCCTGGGGCCGGGCGTCTTCCTGCGGGCAGCGGGGGGCACAGGTTGGGTAGACATCGGGGGCGTGGGCGCGGCGGTTCCTTGTGATAGCCTGGGGGAGGGGCTAGGACAAGGTGGGAACACTTGGGGAAGAGGGGCTTGTGGGGAGGGAGGAATGAAAACGCGGCTACCTGGAGAAGGGGCCTCGAGGTCTGGGGATAGAGGGAGCTCCAGTTCACACAGGAGGGACTGGGGCCCCGAAAGCCTGGCTCCCCATGAGGCCAGATGAAAAGGGGCAGCTGCAAGCGACGGGTGGGTTCTCCGCAGCTAGAAAACTGGAGCCTGGAGGCCTGGCCAACGCCCCCCACCCCCCCGGCAGAGAGGAACTTGGGAGGGGAAGCCGCAGGCGGTTGGGGTCCCCACAAGCCGGGCCTAGGGGAGCCGGTAACCGTTTCCGGCTGTTCAGGTTCAAACACACTCACTGTGAAACCATCGGGCCCCAAACAAATCTTCTGAGGCTTGCCCCGCCCTGCTACCCGGCTGCGGAGGCAGGACCACCCCCACACCTCAATCTCGGTAAAACGAGACCTACAAACAGGCCCCTTCTGGTCCTTAGTTTCCCCAAGTGAGGAGGGGCAACACCGGCCTAGCCTAGACGGTCCGTGTGTGTCCCCCGCCCTAACACTCTCCTTACTTTGGACCTAGCGCAGCCACCTGCTGAGAGACCCTTAAACGCCGCAGTGGGGCGGGGCTAAGGGCGGAGTCAAGAAGCCGCCAACCACCCAGAGGCTCCTCCCCCTTTTGAGTCTGGCCCCCAACCGCGTGGATCTTCAGTAGTCCTGGAGGCCTCTGCCTAAGTCCCAGCTCCCGGCCCGGGTGGGCTCCACCCGGGCGGATGCCACGCCCCCGGCCAGCCTAGCAGGCCGCTGACCTAGTATGGACACAGCACTGGGAAGAGAGGCGTGGAGGATGACGCTTGGAAGTGGGCAGGAGAGTCCGGGCCCTGCCCCCACAGGCCGCCCCCCCCTTCTGAGGGGACGCACCTGACACGGGTAGGGGTAAGGCGCGGTGACTGTGCAGCTGCTATGCCGCCCAGAGCTAAAAATATTTCCCAACAGACAGAGGAGTAAGGAGGCTCCCAAGGAGAACCAGTTTATTGGGGAGTGGGTAAAGTTGGTCAGAGCCATAAATAGGAGCGGGCGGGGAGCCCGAGGACAGGACGGGAGCAGTGTCCTTAGTCACGCTGAACACTGGGATATCAAGGCTGATGGGAAATGGGGTTCCAGGAAGAGGTTTAGAGATCTAACCCCAGTACCCTACCCTCTGGACGAGGAGCTGGAGCTGGCCCAAGGGACTGCCAACAGACTCAGGGGCGGGTTTGGGTCTGGTCTAGAGGCTCAGATCTTCTCATCAGGTGCAGGCAGGCGCTGGCGGTTAGGCTCCACGCCCCAGATCTCCTTGGCGTACTGGGCAATGGTGCGGTCGCTAGAGAACTTGCCAGAGGTGGCTATGTTCCGGATCACCATCCGCGTCCACTCTCTCGGGTTCTACAAGCCAAAAGGGAGCTAGCTCTGGGTTTGCTCTGCCAGTGGGGTCCCCACCTACCACCTCATCCCAACCAGGGCCACCAAAGCCCTGCCAGCCCCTGGCCCAGGACCCCTCACCTTGTACAGGGCACTGACTCTCTCCTGGCATTTAATGTATTCTTCATAATCTGCAAAGACTTTAAACCTGGAGGGGAATATGGAGAATCAGGAAGTTTCGTGAGGCCAAGGGCCAAGCCCGTCCTGTCCCATTGGATTTCTGGGGACCTGAACAGTGATGCTGCTTCCAAAGGAATCTAGTCCCAACTGCCCAGAAGCCCTGTCCAGCCTCCCCACCGCACCTGAGCCCTACTGAGCCCAGCAGCCCCACGTGCGCAGTTTCCTGGCCAGCCAGCTCACCGGTCATGGTGCATGAGCATGTTGACAATGGCCTTGAACAGGTCGGGCTGTTTGGGGGAGAAGAAGCCACTGTTCAGCTGGTCAATGATGTGCCGAAGCTCTGGAATTCGGTCATAGTATTCCTGGGCATTGTACCTGTTGGGGAAGAGCTGTAGTCAGTGCCCTGGAAATGGGTTCCTGGCTCCTCCTCCTCCAGCAAAAATCCAGGAAGTTCCAAGCCCCAGGGTCAAAACCCAGGCCCAGCCTGCTACTGCCCTCCCCGCAGCTGCCACACTCCCTCTGGAGGTCTTTCCAAGAGGCCCCCTCCCTTCTCAGCTCAGCTTTTCATCCCCCACTTTGTGGATGAGGAAATGAGGTCTAGAGAGGAGAGAAAGGTAGTGTCAGAGCCAAAGGCCCCAAACCAAGCGCTCTTCTTCCCACACACCACCACTGTCTCCCAACAGGTTTCTTTCCTCCGTTAATGGCTTTTCTCCCCCACCATCCACAGTCCATCCCTGGCCTCACTTTCAGGCCCCAGAAGGAGCGAACAGGTATATCGTGAGGAACATCCTTAAGTTCGAACCGTCCAGCCAAGCTCATCGCTGTGCCTGGCACCAACTTTCCTCCAGTGTCCCACTTCCTAAGGCAGCACAATCCATTCCTGAGCCACCTGGGTTCAAATCTCTCAAGACCAGTCTCATCTCTTTCCTCCCTTTCTCTCTTCCAACCAGAAACCAAGTCCGCCTCCTCAACAATGTCCCTAATCCCCATCCCCAGCACTGGCCTGCTGCAGGGGACTCCCCCTGCCATCTGGTGTCAGCCCCACACTGGTCCCCCACCTAGACATTGTCCCCTCCAGTCAAGCCTCCCTCCTGCAGCCAAAAGTGTCCATCTGGAGCCTAGTTCTGAACGTGTTGGACTTTGCTCAAAACATTTCACATTTCCTTCCTGTCCAAAGGACCAAGTCTG